ACACCTGTAGTTTGTCTACGTTTTACCTTAATCTTTTGTGTAAAATAAGTTGGAAGAATGCATCAGTTCAAAACTGCATCAAAATTTCAGTATAAAGAGTTTGAGGTTGCTGAATCCGAATTTGATATTATATATATATATTATATTTATATATTATATAATATATTTATATATATATATATATTATATATATATATATATATATATATATATATATATATATATATATATATATTCGTACATCAATATACACGAGGTCATCGCGTGACGTGTCAATAATGTTAATTAATATATATATATATATATATGTTGCGACGCGCGCATTAATTGTTAAGTCGGAGATAAGATAAAACGTGAATAGAGAGCCGAGAGGACACACAACTTTTTTAAGTATATATTAAAATAATATATGCGTCGAGACTCTCCCGTTCATTGTGCTTTAACGTCTATCTAACTATTTAAATATTTATACATGTGGAGGAGGAAGAGGAGGGGAAGAATAGCTCGGTTCAATCGATTCGACCAAAACCTTCGGCCGAGTGCGCGCCGAGCGATCGGGGACGAATTTTATATATCGCCATCTCTCTCGGACTCTCCCGTCCTCTCGTTATTACTGCCTAATTGCAAAATGGTTCGTCGTCTTTTGCACCATGAAACAAGTATGGAAACTGTTCCCGCTACGTCGCTACACAGCCGAGATAATTGACGAGATATCAGAACGCGAAATTGCAATTTTTCTTCGGAAATTAAATAACGCTTAATAAAACTTTTCTTGACTACCTTCCGCGGGCTTCTTGATGATTGATGATGTTACAGCGACAAAAAGCACGTTGCAAATTCTTGCAGAATACGTTGAAATAAAAAGATATATCGACGAGATGACACTTGCAGCCGTTCGAGCGCGTATCTGAAAATATTCCGGACACTTTCCTGTCACTCTGACAACCTATAAACTACCGTAAAATTTACGTAACCTGTCCTTTTCAATTTACCTTCTCTTTTCTGTCACGTTAACGGGTTTTCAATGATTGTTAAAGCAAAAGGTTTTGATTATTTTACAGATTTTCCCGATCAGTCGCAATTGTCACTTTGCGAGTATTTTTCTATTTTTACGTATTTTGCGAGAATTTTTAGCGTGCATTTCTTTCGCTGCTGACGTCATAAATCAAGCTGATCGCGGCGATTAACCGAAAGCCTTACTTTTTGCCGACATAAAAATGACGAGACGCACGAAGCTTGTACAATTTCGTCGTCGAGACAGTCGACTCGGCGCTCATTTTAACGCGACAAGAGATTATTCCGCGAATAATCTCTTCTTAAACGTGTTACTCGCACCGTGTCAACGCACGAAGATTAATTAAACAGCTGTCGACACACAAAGTTTCTGTTCATTGGATGAAAAGGGAAAGAAAGCGAACGAATAATACCACCGACCCGATCGTTCCGCTCGGCATCTAATGTCACTTTAATATACTCTAAGGTACTAACTCGTTGTTTAAATTAATAATTATTTTAGCATAAATATATATATAAATATATATACAAGTCTCCGAGTCTCTGTACATATTGTCTTCAATGTCGTTTCTAATCGATCAATGTGACCTACGTGTTATAACGAGGGAGAGAATGGATTGATTAACGCGCGCGAGTGGTGCAATTGTTTTTGTGTGTATGCGCGTGCGGATGAGAGGGAGAGAAAGGGGCGGGAGTGCGTGGATAAAGGTAATTACGCGAGCAGGACGAAGTGTGTCGCCTGATCGTCACCTACAAGAGTTCGCGAAAATGTCGAAGATGTCGCGGTTTATATACGGACCGTTACTGGATCGTTGTCACTTGCACGGAAAAAAAAAGATTTCACTGCCGCAGCTAATCGTGATTTGCTGGAAATGCATTGCTGCGACTGACATTTTTGCTATTACATCGATTTCATAGCCAAATATACATGCCTATTGGCACAAATAGACTTTTATTACAAGATTTCGCGCACAGGTTTGTGTCGCCGCGGCTAATTTTTTTTTTCCGTGTATTATTCTCGAAACTAGGTCTCTGATATCGAAAGTGAAGCACCCTAATGGCTCAATTCATCGTAAACTCCCCCGAGCGGGATCTTGCGGCTGGTTTAGGCAAACGACGCTTCCTCTCGAAAGCGCGGTGGCGAGAAAGGGGTGATGAGGAAACAAAAACGAGGTTGAAGCAAAAAGCAGCGTCTAAAGCGAGCGTTCGTCTTACTCGCGGCCCTCCAGGTGTGCAATCACTATTGTAAACGTATTCGCATCTGTCACACTCCGGGAACATGCATCACATTTCACGTATATACACGTAATACATACGAAACTCAAATGCACGCGCACGATCAGAGCCTTGCTGCTAAGCCTTATCTTGTAACACGAGGTTTAAATAAACTGCTGAAAGAAAAGGAAGTCGTACCTGTGTGTCTTGTTCATTCGATAACCCATTCAAACTGAAGATTTTGATAATGACCATCAAGCCTGGATAATAGCTGCCAGGCGTTTTGGTGAAATAATCTCGACTAAACGTGTAGGTGAATATAATGAAATGATTTGGCAAATAATTTTAGCAAGACTTGATATTCATTGCTAAAACTTGATGATTGTTATTAATTTTTTTACCAATCTGTATGTACATCGAAAGAAAATACATGTAAAAAGTAAAAAATATTCACACAGTGAATACTAATAACATTTACTGTACTACATATATCTTTCTGTTGGAAAAATGTTCTTTTCAAATGGAGAAAATTTACATTTTCTTAAAATCGCTGCTTTGCATGAAAACATAAATGAATATTAAATAATATTGTTTATTTTCTACACGCAAAAAAAATCTCAGTTCGTGCAACCGAATAGGAACCAACTAAAAATTAGGTAATCAGAAGCGATATCTTTGTTATGAAAACTAATATTTCTGTTGTCAACCGAAAATATTTGTCTAAACATTCAGCGATATTAGAACTCTAGGTTGAGGCAACTAAGAACAGTTGACTATACAGAACCCTCATAAAGGAATTTTTCTGTTTCTACAGTCGAATTTTCATCTGGTCCTTGAGCAACCGAAAATTCGATTGTACCAACGGAATTTTTTCCGTGTAGACATCTTTTTTCCTTCAGTGATTCTATCATCAAATATTATAAAATTTATAAAATAAAATCATATTCAGTAATACTCACCATATTATATGTGATAAATATACGAAATGACCAAATATTCTTTGGTAACGGTCAAAGTATTTAGTAATTATTACCAAGTTATTTGATGTTTGTTTCGTTCATATTGATCTTTATTTAGAAATGACACGCAACTTTCGTCAGTATGTCGTTCCTCGGTTCTGACGTTACAAGTTCAACATGGCCGCGGCGAGGTACAAGGAGCCTTAAAACCACAATTGCCAGGTATTCCACTGAAACACGCTCAACCGAATGTTCTTGTCAGCTATTACAAAACCTCAGCGTTCGAACACGTCCTGGAAACGTCCGCCCGCATCCCTCGAGTGTCTTCATGCGAAATTCCGCGACCTCCGATTGTCACGGAGATCCTCGTCTCGCGCTGATCGACAGACGGCGCTCCATCTTCGCGTTACGACAAGTCAAGCGTCGCAAACTTGCGCGACACGTCATAGACCGTGACAGGTGAGCGCGGGACTTTCAGACCACCGACGTTGTCGTGTCCTGTAGACGACCTCACATCTCGCACTGCGCGATCCTCCCCGGGGACGTCGTGGGCTGCTCAATAAACGTCTCGCGATCTGTCTCGTAGGTGTTCTTTATTCTTTGTAAAATCATACAGCGAAAGCGATCGGATCTACACAGTGTAGTGAAGCGAGATACAAGTGAAGTGAACGTTCGCGGCGCGAACGACGGCCGAGTCGAGTGTTGCTGAGAGCGGCAGCTAACTGTTTCGCACCCCCTTTCAACCCTCCACCCGAAGGACGATCCTCTGGTGATCCGCGGTGGAAACGAGGGGGAAAAAAGGGAAGAAGGACAATCGATAAACATTGTCCGTCAGGACGTTGCAACTGGCGACTCGAAGGAAGAAATGTTCGGATTCCGAGAAATTTCGTGCAATTTATTCGCGAACATCTCCTCATTCCCGAGTCGAATGAACTTTCCCATCTTCCTCCGCGGATCCTTCTCGAGAGATTCTGCAAAATTTGCGGGGGATACAGAGGGATTTCAGAAACACATATTTCTCTCACGAATCTTTCTTTGCCCGTCATCTCCCGTCGTCTCTCAGGTGGAGGTTTCCAACGCGCCGTCGATTCGTCCGCAAACCGTCTCTCTTTCTCTCTCGAAGGTACGTACGTTCTTTTACATCTTCTGTTTTGTCTCCTTTTAATCTGTGTTTCATTTTGCTCTACGCAAATTCGTTTTGGCCCGAACAGCACGAGATTCTCTCGTAAAAATCGTTCGCTAGAAACGCAACGCAACTGCGGACCGAGAGCGAGCGTGCGCGCGAATGCGCTCGCTCGCTCGCTCGCTCACCCGCCCGTCCGTCCGTCCGCACGTGACTTAGAAACTTAATAACTAATTCCGACGAAATACAAGTAATGCAAATATACGTATACCTAGGGTCCTAATAATAAAAACTAGAAGTTTCCTCTTCTGATTATAATTATCCAAAATATATGTCACCTAAAGTTATATCGTCGTAGTCAGCTTGGTGGCGTCGCGGTGATTGGCAATCAAATATCCAGTGATGTCGATTCATGATTCCGCGTGTTTGTCGTATGCGTGTGTGTGTATTCGTGTGTACATTTATGTGTGTGTGTGTGTGTGTATGTGTGTGAAACAAATGCCTTTTATACAAATAGCTCTGTGGTACAGAAAATTTGATTTCCCCTACTACAGTATAGGTATATTTATATATATATAATATACATATATATTTATATATATCATATACTTTTATAATAGCTAATAAATAATCCTTAATAGTTCGTCAGTTAATTTCTGTGAAACCCGCCTGC